CACACACACAACACACAGAGCTTAGTCACTAGGAAAAATGGTTCCAGTACAGGTTTGCTTTGTTACCTGTCTCCGGCCCAAACCCTTTGCAGTAGCAGTGACTGTACTCTTATATGCCTCATAAGTGAGGTAGGATCCTGCCCAGCTGATGAGCCCAACCCTTAGGTCTTCCGGCTTGGGTTGTCTTTGCATCCACTCCACCTCATCCATGGGGCCGGCACCACAGGTGATGACTCCGTCCGGCCCAGCTTTCCCCCCAGTGGTGAGGTTCCACAGGCCATAGGGCCTGGAATCAGGCCAAAGTACCCGCCGGAAGACGTTCCCAGAGGGAACTTTCCAGGCAGAGGCTGGCCTAGGGCCCAGCACCTCTGTGACCCGAGAGCATTGTGACTGTGAGGGCTGCCTCTCATCCCACCGTCGTGGGGAAAGGGCACTGGCCCAGCAATACCAATCCGTGGCCCAGAGGAAGTGGGTTCAGGCCTCCTGCGTTAGCCTCCCACATCATTCCAGGAACTGAGGCTGGCTGAGCTAAGACAGAGAATCAGAATTTCAGCCTGTGCCAGTGACCACTTGCGACTTCAGGTAAGTTCCTCCCCTTCACTTGTTTCTTTTTAATCATAGGATAGAAGCCAACCCCTTGCCTCCCAGGAAGTGGGTTCTGCCTGGCTCCCTTGAGACTCAAAGGGTTTTTGGAGTTCACAATATCCAAGAAAAATCTATTAACTTTTATGGCCCTTGGGAGGATGATGCCAAAATGTCTCAGAAGGTACTTTTCAAGGAGGGTGAGGAAACCCTAGATAGATAACCAGCAAGGATCAAATTACTCATAGTGATCAGGAGGGACTGGCTCAGGAGCAGGGCAAGGAGAATGGCCTAGGCGGGGAACACCCCTGACATAAGCCCCAGCCGCACTACTGCTTCCCCATGGGTGGGGTCTTTCCAGGTAGGAAGAGTCCCAGTGGTGCAGAGTGAGGAACTGTAATCCTGTTTGATAAAATAAGGCTAACAGACTACAGAATCACCTGGGTGATTTTAAAAATGCATATTCTTGGGCCTCAGACCAGTCCTGATGAATCACTTTTTCTTAAGCATGCCTCAAGAATCTCATTTTAAACAAATTTTCTTTCCCCCTCAAGTTTTAATGTGTATAGTAATCATTAAGAACCACGGCCAGCTAAGAGATGGATAGGAAATGGAAGTTATGTGGTATACGGAAGCATGGAAGTAGAGCCCGTTACCCTCAGCAAAGGCCCCTTGGAATTGGGGAAAGAATGGGATTTCCCCCACTGGAACCCCTAAAGCACTTCCAGATGCAAGAATAAGGTGGGAGAAGCCGAGCTAGATGAAGGCAGCAAGGTGTGTGTGTGCTTGGGGAGAGGGGGGTCGCCCCTGCAGCCTTAGAGTCTTTGAGTCTCTCCCATATTGTCTTTGCACCCAATAACCCAGCCCCAAGCTTCCAGGCTACAGACAACACCACGTACAAACCACAGCAAATTTATTACTCAATATCCAGTGCCATATCATAGCACCACCCGGAGCCCTCACCTTCCCTCCCCACTTGGCCCCAAGGGTATACCCAAAATGGAAAAAAACAAAAGTAAACCCAGATCCCTGCTCCTCCTCTGGAAGAAGGGGCCTCGGCCCTGGAAGCCCCTCCCACAGGTCCCAGCAGGCAGGAGAGTGGACCCCTCCATGCCCAGAGAGCAAGGCTCCAGGCTCCCACAACAGAGAACATGCAGGCAGGAGCAGGAGCAGAGGCTCGAGTCTGTGGGAGGAGGAGCAGGAGGGACGGACACTGCCTGAGGAGTCCGGGAGTTTGGGCATCCCAGGGATGCACGCGGGAGCTTCCGGGCAGCAGGGGCCGGCCCCTGGTGGTTAGCGCTTCGACAGCTCATGGGACAGCCAGTCTAGCCCATCGTACAGGCCTGTGCCTTGGGTGGCACAGGTGGCCTGGACATACCACTGTGGGGTGAAGGTAAAAAAAACAGGTCAGTAGCAGGGAAGAAAAGGGAAATGCCTTTATTTCCTGCCCCAGCCTGTGGCTCCCTTGGGAGACGCAGGACCCTCACCGTGCGGCTTCGCAAGTGCTGCAGGCCCAGCTTGTCCGTCAGCTCGCTCACGGGCATGGCGTTGGGCATGTCCTGCTTGTTGGCGAACACCAGCAGCACGGCATCCCGCAGCTCGTCCTCCTGCAGCTGAGATGCCGAAGGTGTGAAATCTAGAGTCCTTTGGGGTCCCCAGGTTCCCTCTTTCCTGTTGTGTAGGGGAGCCCCCTTTCTACCTTCCAGCATATTTGTGGGAAAAATATATTATTATGTTGCTTCTCGCTTAACACAAGACACAGTTATAAATCAGCTAGAGACGACCTTGGCTTTAAGGTAGTCTCTACCTTAAAAGGCCTCCAGAAGGGGCCTTTTTCTAATCTGAGTATTCGCATTAGTCAAAATGACAAAATTTCCCAACGGAAAAACAAAAATGTAAGATGATGTTTCTCTCCACCACATATTATTTCCCTTTTCCAACTTCTCAGACTCAGATATGAAGACATGAAAATTCAAAGAAAAGGTCAGTCTTATACTTTTTACCTGACCCAAATTCGAAACAGGGTGAGATCGTCCCTGTGTCTGTCTCCACAAAGAGAAACGTACACTGGAGGCCTGTGCGGCGCTTCCTGACTTTCACACTGGCACTGAGATTTCTGTCTCTGAACTGAGGGCTCAGTTCCAGAGCCTTGGGTGCTCACCATTTTCTGGAGTTCATCAGCAGACTCCTGGACCCGCTCTCGGTCATTACTGTCCACCACGAAGATGAGGCCCTACGTGGGAAGGAAGGAGGAGCAATCACGCCTGCCTAGGACATACCCTAGTCTGACTCCTTCTCTCTTTAATTGTGTCTAAACCCTTCTCATCTAATAAACTTCCACTAAGGTTCTGCAGATGTCCTGGCACAAACCAGAGACAAGCTGCAAAGGATACAGATTCTGCCCTCAGGCAAGCAGTCTAGCTAAAAGACATGCATGCGAACAGGGAAAAGACATGTCGCGAGAGTAGACCGGGCAGCCTGAGCCTAGAGTCCTGCTCCTCAAAAGAGGCCTAAGGCGCCTGAGTCTCAGAAGACTAAGGCTAGTTCTGAAGGATGAGTAGAGGCTAGCTTACAAAAGGGAGGGTGGAAGGAAGTAAGGCTTTTTCACTGTCTGGAGGCCCAGCCTAGGCCAACATCTCAGTCTTCCTAACCCTAAGGCTGCTTCCCCCGGGGTTGGAGAGACAAGCCCCCCCATCCCCCCCCACCTGAGTGTTCTGGAAGTAGTGCCGCCACAGAGGCCGAATCTTGTCCTGGCCTCCCACGTCCCAAACTGTGAAACAGATGTTCTTGTATTCCACTGTTTCCACATTGAAGCCTGCAGACAATTGAAAACAAAAAATGAACAGAAAGTTCTGAAAGGAACTTACTAAAACCACATGGATTCAGCAGGGACACAATGATCAAGGCCCAAGGAAACAGAAGTCCGGAGGACCTGCAGTCGACAGACGGGGCGGGGCTAGGTCACATTCACCCCTCCTCAGCACCATCAAGCACATAAAGATACTGTGACCCACTTCTCAGGTATCTGTATCTGGTGTCAGCTCCCAGCACAGAGATGCAGAATAGGGAGCAGACCCTAAGGAGGTCTGTCGCCGTGCTCCCGCTCCTCCCAATCTCGCCTCCAGACTCACCTATGGTGGGGATGGTGGTGACAATCTCCCCTAACTTCAGTTTGTACAGAATTGTGGTCTTGCCGGCTGCATCCAAGCCAACTGCAAAGGAGAGGGGCACAGGGATGGAGATGGGAGCGAGGGAGCCCCCTAGAGACCAGGGAAGGGGAGAGGCCAGGACAGCGGATGGTGACGGGGGCGAAGAGCCCGAGCGCCTCCAGGTGCGCGCTGTTATCTACCTTCAGGGCCTTAAGGGCAGTCTAGGTGGTGAGTGCCAACTCCTGCTCCCAAAGCAGGCGAGGGGAGGGAGAGGACTGGGGGTGTCAGGGGCACAGGAGGGCCGCGCTCCTTTTAAAAGTCGTCTCCAAGGGCGGAATCCTCCCTTCTTACCAGCGGGGCTGGGGCGGAGGGAGCTTCACCCCACCCAGGCCCGCAGTTCTCGGTCTCAGGCCCCGGGGGTGGCGCTACAGACCGCTACCCGCCAGAGAGCAGTGGCTCCGAGGCGAGAGGGGCGGTTAAGAAGTGGGTGACTCAGGGTCGGATATCAGGGGGAGCTGGGCTGGAGGGACGCGGGGGCAGGGAAGGCTGCGCGGGGGCCGGCGCTCCCGTCTGGGCCGCGCGCTTGATCTGCCTCACCCATAAGGATCCGCATCTGCTTCTTCCCGAAGATCCGCGAAAAGAGCGCGGACACGGTGAGGCCCATGGCGGGGCCAGGGGGAGGGGGCACGGGCACGGACACGGGGTGCAGGCTGGAACCGGCCGGCCGCTGGGGGATGGGGCGCAGCAGCAGCAGCAGGAGGAGGCGCCGCCACCGCCTCCGCGCGTCCCGGCCCGCCCTACGTCACCGCGGG